GCTAAGGGTGGGGTGGAGGAGGAGCTGGGGCCAGAAGCAGACCTGAGGGCTAGTCACAGAGGATTTTTTCCTTCATGTCAGCAACAGTAAGTTTCTTGTACAATGGGTACACAGGTGTCTGAAAACAGAAATAAAAGAACAGTGTACATTGGCCTCAGATCAGAGAGAAAGCTGTGACTATGACCCAGTTTGAAATTCTTGGCCTTTATAATAATGGTTTTCTGACCCTGACCCCCAGGTAGGAGGCTGGGAAAGACGGTCTATGAAACCCAGCACTCCATGTCCCCTGGAAAGGCCCACAACCACACTTGAGGTTCAGACTCAGCCATCCCCAGCCTGACAAGGACCCACACTATCTCAGAGCTGGTAGAAACTGCCTCTATATATGTCATGGGCCTCTAACTCTGTGACTGCACAGCCATTGCGCCTCTGTGTTGTGTCCTTCCTACAGTGTTTGTCACATTTCTAACTTTTACCCTTTCCGAGGGCTCTGCTGGCTATCCAAACTGTTTTCCCTGCTTCTGCGGCTGGGTTATCTCCTATAGGTTCCTGGGCTTCTTGCTGGTCACAGACCCATTGCCATTGTTTTCATATCTCTGCTATCAGACTACAAGTCTTTGCGGAGATGGGTTCACATCAGGCTCACTTCTGAGCCTCCAACACCGACCATGAGACCAGGCAACAGATCTCATTGGAAGCTATTTATTCATTCATTTATTTGTTTATTTATTTATTTTACTTCATCCGTTTCATTTTTCCATTTCTGTTTTCTTGTTTAAATTTATCTTTATTATTACTGTTGTTAAATTTTCATTGATTCAAGAACTGCTCCTAGCCTAGGCTGACCTTGAACTTGTTATGACATTGAAGATGGTCTTGAACTTCTTGTCCCCCTGCTTCCACTCCCCTCTAGAGTCCTGGGATTACAGATGTGTGCCACCATGCCCATGTTATTCTATGTTAAGGACTGAACTCAGGGATTCACGTCTGCTAGGCAGGTCCTCTGCTAACTGAGCCCCATGTCCAGTCCTGGGCTTCCCATTCTGAAGTGGAGGGGCAGCTGTGCACCCTGCTTTCGTGGAAGTGAAATGCTTTTCTGCTGGCCTGGATCACATTCCTTTCCTTGTGAGGCACTGATGCCTCATTGCACCATCCCTCATTTCTGTAGTGGCTTTTGAAGCCTGCCCCTTTTTTTATGTCCATTTTCTCACCCTAAGGCATCCAATGCAGAAGAGATTCACTGAGGGCTAAACTCTTTAGATCTTCCACTCTCTCAAAGATAAGAAAAAAAAGAAGAAAGCCTCTCTTATTGCTTTTCTCTCTGTCATTAATTTACTTTTCAAAAGATACATTGTCAAGCTGAAGATTATATCTTTAAGCCATGTGTTTACACCCACTCCCTATAAAACCTGAGATTATAGATCTCCTTAAAGGTCCTACCTGGGGAAAAGTGTGCTGGGAAACTTGTGTGCCTTTTCCTTTGTGGGAGCGAATCGGTGAGGAAGGAAAGGCACTGCTGGGGTAAAAGGTTATGACTGCTGCTTTAGTTTAATTTCTAAGACCCTTCAACCTCTTTCTACAAAGTGCTCCTTTGCTCACAGGTTTGCTACGCTGACCTCCCAACAAAACTCCCTGCATCTCATCTCCTCCCCTGCCCTGAGCACCACAACTACCCTACAGGACAGCAATGGAAGACAGCACAGCACATGGGGGGAAAGGGTGGGAGGGACCAGGTACTTGAAGCAGTGTATATCTGGCTCAAAGCTCTCACCATGAGACTTGGTGACTCAGTTTCTTTAACTGTAAAGTAGACCTCACAAAACAAACCTTAAGGGGTCTTTGATCGACCTAGATAAAATAGCACGGATAAAGCTTTTCGCTCCTGCCCCTCTGTTCATCATACATCCCATTCTTCATGAGCATAAAATGACTCTTCCACTCTATGGCGCTCACCTTGGCTGCCCTTGGAATTGCCAAGGGAGCACTGAAAACTACTGGTGGCTGACCCTCCCCTTCCACAGCCCACTAGTGGGTCATATTTAATTGGTCTGTGGTGTAGCTTCTGGACATGAGGGTTTCCAAAACTTCCTAGGTGATTCTTGTGTGCAGCCAAGGTTGAGAGTCACTGAACTACTGTTTACACCAAGATTGAAAGTCCTTGTAAATTGCCCACTTGATATCACACATCTGGCCTCTTCCCAGGCATTTTCTACCATGTAGCTGCGATTACTCAGTAAATCACAAAGGCAAGGTAATTATTAGTGTAAACTTATTTTAAAAGTAAAACAAATTAACGGCACGAGGCAAAGCAATACAGGCGTCCTGTTTTATTCTTTCATAGAGATTCTGAAACATATGCTTTAGCAAAGGAAATAATAATGGTGATGACAATAATTTGCACATGACAGATGCTGTGATATGTGTGCATCATATACCCGATTTTCTTTGCTTTTATTGTCTTCTTTGCTCCCTAGTCCCAGCACATGCACACCTGCAAGTCCCTCCCCTAACATTCTTTCTCATCTTTCAAGCTTTGTCTCAGGATGGAGTTCTTTCTCAAAAGTCTCCTCTCTACAGACCTATTAAAAAGTCCTTCCAGTTCTAAGTGGAGCCTAGGCCATCTCTGATATCTAACACAGGAAGACTGCTCTCTCCTACCTGTCCTTTTTCAGCATCTATTTTGTGTGCCACATATTTTGATGCTAACTCAAACTCAGCAATTAATTTCCTATGGTCCCAGATATCCCTGTGTTCCTAAGGACTCAATTCCACCAGTGCTGGAAACGATAGGCTTGGGGTGCTGCATCTGTGCTGAGCTGCGCAGGCTTGTTTTTCCTAACCAGTTTCTTTTTTTTCCCCCTAAACAACACAGTCTAACAAAAATTTAGGTAATATTTGCATTGTATTGAACTTTCTAAATAAGCTACAGGTGGTTTAAGGTATCCAGAAGGAGGGACTGGGGATGCAGTTCAGTTGGTAGAGTGCCTGCATGAAGCCCTGGGTTCCATCCCTATAAAACCAGGCATGATGGCAGTTGCCTGTAATCTCAGCACTTGTGGGGTGGAGGCAGGAGAATCAAATGTTAAGTTTATCTTTGGCTATATATAGTGAGTTTGAGGTCAGGCTGGGTCTACATGAGTATCTATCTATCTATCTATCTATCTATCTATCTATCTATCAATCATCTATCTATCTATCATCTATCATCT